ATCCAGGTGTTGTTTCTGGTACTGATGGTTGTGGCTGAACCGTTTCTTCGCTGTGCCGCTGCGGCTGGCGGCGTAGTCCCCCGAACGAGAATGGCCACGCCTGCAGCCGACGACGATCCTTTGGTGCCTCTCACGAACTGCTTTCCCGGCGTAATACTCAGTCCTTCCAAGATCCCATACACCTGCGAAGTTAACAATGCCCAAACACTGATTGGCTTGAACCTCTCCGCCTCGTACTACACCTCAGTTCTCACTCCTGAATGGCCGGCGACTCTTGATACGAAAACCGATACCATTACATTCATGCCTGATCGTGGGGCACCTTCAGGACGTTGGGAATTGGTCATAACACGTATTTCTGTTGATGGAAACTCTGACACTCCTATGACGACCAATAAGAGCNAATGACCAAACACTGATTGGCTTGAACCTCTCCGCCTCGTACTATTATGGAGAAGGTCTCATTCCTGGATGGCCGGCGACTCTTGATGCGGGAGCCAATACCATTACATTCAAGCCTGATCGTGGGGCACCTTCAGGACGTTGGGAATTGGTCATAACACGTATTTCTGTTGATGGAAACTCTGACACTCCTATGACGACCAATAAGAGCATGGACTTCATGCGCATCGGTGCGACCGAGGCGAATTTCGATGCGCTCTTTCCGTATTACGGTATGGGTGTATTGTTTGCACCTAATCTTCCGAGTGGCACCACGGCTTCCGACTACATGCTGGTCCGCTCTTTCAATGACTGCCAGTACACCCCTGCAAACTGCACTGACTCTGTTGGGTGCTACAGAATGCTGCCACCCGCGCATCTTCCCCCTCCTGGCGAATACTGGCTCTGTGTGACGTCAAATGACTGGCATTCTCAATACCTTCCATGGGGTGTGGAATCTCTTGAGGTGAAGGTACTGTTGTCCACTCCGCTGTACTTGACAGCTGGTAAAGACAGAAATGTCGTGCTGCAGGATGCGGAGTCTGTGGTCAGTAAACTGAGCCGTGTGTTCCTGGTGCGGTGCCCTGGCAACTACTGCCCCCTTGTGACTACTGACAGTGGGGAAGATGTGGTGCACCGTGATGCGTGTGTGAACACCTCCAGCTCGTCGCGTGTGTACCTGTCCGACGAACGTGTGCTGTTAGCAGCACCTGGTGTGTACGCTGTGTGTGTCGATGATGGTGATGGAGAGTACACTGCTCCCGCTGCGCTCCCGGTGACGGTGCTGGAGAAACCCTTTGCCTTCAAGGTAACTGCTGACAGGGCGAGAAACACTGTTACGATTGGTGTTAGTGGCGGTGACCTCGAGTGGCGCAGAGAGCCGTACACTGTGTGCGCTGTGTCACGGGATGAAACGTGTGATTCTGTGTCTGCGGGGCCTCGTTTGTGTGAGAAGAGCAGGTTCCCAAATTCATTTTCTGTGTCTATGGATCTCACCAGCAGGGGAATGCTTGTTGAGGATGTGAAGTTCTGCTTCATCGCAGCCAACGTGACAATCGGAGGACGCACCTACACGCATATGCAGAGTGTGCCAGAGGACGTGTGGGAGGATGTGCCGGAGGACGATGTTGAGTCGACCACAGGATTGTCTGGTGGAGTCATCGCCGGGATTGTCATTGCCTGCATCGTTGTATTAAGTGCTCTGGTTGTCGCTGTGATGTATGTGCTGCATCAGCGAAGGAGAAAAAGAAGGGAGTCACTGGACTCTGGCACACCACCCTCGCCGACAGTGCCACACTCTGTGCCGAGGGAATCAAATCCCCTGACAACTGTTTCGGCCGACACTTCCCCACCCACGCCTGTTCCACCCCAAGACGATGGTGCTGTCCAGGTGCCTGTTGCTGAGCAGCCCAGCAACGCAGTGGAGCGGCACATGGACCCCACAAATATGCAAGAGGTGGTGGACGGGAATTTAGCTCCTTCTGAGGAAACACACGAAGGCGGTATGACAAATACAGTAGGAAATGTTACTTCTTCTGGTAACAACGTAAGCCACAACATTGTGGCGTACCCGTCGACGCTTTATAATATGTCGCCAGCGGAGTTTAATGAAGTTTTGGTGAGGAGCGTGCAGGGATACGTGGAAAATCTTTACGCCACGTTGATGAATGGTGCGCAGCATGGGGCCGCTCCACAAACAACACGTGTTCCTCCTGAGCGCAGTGCAAACGAGGAATAATCTGATGAACCAACGGTTGAAGCACCTCACGTGAAGTATCAGCTAGAAAGTAACTCGCGGAATCTTTTATCTCTCGGTGCAGAATGGAGGTTTATCCGAGAGCGAATGCCTCCCCTCTCAAACAATACGGAACAAGGGTTTCCTTTGCCCGGGAAAGACAGTTATCATTTTACTTGTTACACTGGCCAAAGGAATCGCAGGAGCTGGAGTAAAACGATTCTGAGAGACACAAGGTTCTTTACAAGAAGCAGTTAGCTCATCAGAAGAAGGTGCTTGAGTGCGTACGAGAGTATTGCGATGACACAGATAGAGAATACATGAAGCTTTACGATCCACAGGAAAAAGATTACAAATGGCTCAATGAGCCACCCTCTATGAATTCACCGGATAATCATGACCCATCAAGCGACAAGGATAATTGAGGTGTGTAGTGCATTATGAGTGTGATTCCCGATGTGTCAATGCTTTGCCCAAATAAACAACACCAGAGGAAGAAGGAAATCTCCAAATCCTGAGCCCCATGCCGTCTACTTTCATTGTTCCTGTTACCACTCTGAAGAATACTCCTTCCTCTCCCCTTTGCCCAGCGTGTATCCATCGCAATAATACCTGGACCAGGAACTGTTTCATCTGGTGCTGCGTTGGGCGGTGCGAGTTATCGGAGTAGATGTGCATGAATGAGGGAGTGTTGAAGGGGTATCAATTCCGATGAGGTGAACTTATCGAAGGATTATATGATAGTTTTACAAGAGAAGGAAATACAGGATAAAATGTCTCTCTCTGTGTTTTTTTGTTCATGTGTGTATATGTGTTTTTGTATGTGTTGTGACCCGTGTGGTGTCGCGCGACAGTGGCAACTGTGACGTTAAGGCATTTGTATTCAAAGCCTGCCACAACGATCACAGGTGCAGGAATAAAGAAGGCGGAGCTGTGTGGCATCGACGCCCTGTGCACCGCGTTTCTCTCATTTCCCACCCCCTGGT